TAATCTTCCAAGCTGTCCTCACATGCGAGAGGCTGGCCCAGCCCAGCAGTCTTTTCCCAGACGACAAGTGAGTATCCAGGTCTCTGACCTTCGGTAACAAGACTAAGGAAACATTATGTAGGATTCTCGGGGTGACCGTATGAACTATTGTGATCCTGGCCCATCTAATATCCCATATCATGTGAGTAATTCGATTTTGCAGAGGTTTCACCGTCGACTTGCATTCTCTCTAGGCGTTACCTTCTGGCCACCGCAATCAATTTCCTCCGTCTCGCCAAGGATTCCATCGTGTTCCGTCTCGAACCAACCATCCTTACTACAACGGTCCATATACCGATGACTACTACCCTCCAACCCAGTCGGGTGAACCTCATTGGGTCAACAGGGGTAATGCTGCACAATATGAGGATGACTTCGCTGAGGAGTATATAAATGAAGATTACTACTAGTGTAGTTTTTGCTTCCCCTACAACATATTTGTCATGCGCCGCTTGTATATTGATGTCGCTGGTGTCAGCGATGATGTTACCATCAGATTCGGGGGACAAGTCTGCGGCTCTCCACTCAGTCCTGCACCTTTCCTATCGCTTTTCGCACCACTCGTTCCCCTCGCCGAGACCTCTCTGGGGGGGCCTCTTTTGTCTAATTCCATGAAGCCGCTATTGAGATATCACCATTTTCATGTTCGGAGGGCAGTGAGACAGTTTCGCGCATAGCTCAGGATCCGATGGTCTGATCATGGTGACTCCTTTTTTTCCGTGTTTATCTACAAGTACCCGACCGCCTTCCTGAGGCCCCTGTCGATCACCCCAGCCGTTGTCCTGAGGTCGTTACCTGCTTGTTCGCTTGCCCGGAGTTACCCCTATCATCTTGGGGCTGTATCTCGGTGGTTTCTCTGACATGTCTCTCGCTTTTTTGCGGACTCGCACTACTAGATGACGACTCCCTGGAGATGTCTAGATCGTTGTGATTGGTGCAGTAGTTACGGAGATGTTCGCATTTTTGTGGCACGGCCCACCCCTTGAGGTCCTCTCATCGTACCTCATGTGTATCTGCACTGCTTCTCTCGCTTTTCGAGCCACAAGTCCCTTTCACTGACCCATTTCCGGGGTGCCCTTGTTCACCCAATTCTGCTTGCTCGTTGTTGAGATATTCCTGCTTTTGTGTTTGAAGGGTTTCGAGGCAGTTTAGCATATACCTCAGGATCGGGTGATCCAATCGGCGTTTTCCCTCTTTCTCCCTGGTTGCCTGGGAGTCCTCTACCGCATCCCATAGTTTCGTGTCAGTCGCCCCAGCTGTTACTGTTACATTTCAGTACCGGCCACTTATCAACTCTTTGTTAGGGGCAGTCCAGGGTCAAATCACATATGGTACCAATGTCCATCACATGTCCACTGCTGTTAGGCACTGTAGATGATGCCTCAATCTGTATATACAATTCCTGCAGTCCTAGCTACTGTGTTTGTGCCTTGTTGCTCCTCGTGTTACAGTTATTTTCAAAACTGAGAGCAAGGCCAAATAAACAAAATCACACACATGTAGTAGCTAAATGTTATAACTTTGATATCTCAATCAATTCAAGTCAGATCACCACAATTTTTGCAGATTCAGAATCAGGGAAATTAGATGTAGGTCCTGGTGTAAAAATTAGACTAGTTCTAGCACTATATAAGCCTGAACAAGCATAGGCTGATTTCACATATACAATCAAAATTGCAAGTGATCTAGGCATCTGTACACCTTAGCAAACCAATAGTGGTCTTCTATACATCAATTGTCCAGCAGGCTTTCAATGTTTTTTTGGGCAGTAGAGAGCCCTCTACTTTGCCTATTATTGCATATTTCTTCACACAAGATTCATATCCTTGGAGCCCTGTGTATCATCTAGAGAACAGTACCAAAAATATATGCAATTATGCAGTGTGTTGTGGTGATCTGAAGTTCTACACCTAGTATTGTCTTATCTACACATGGTGGCTGCTTACCAATCATGTGCTACCCTCTACCTGTCCCCTTGCCTCACATCTCAAGACTTGCTTCAAATAAAATTTGAATAGCATTCTTTGGGTGCCATGACTATTTCAAGCAATGATATGTATAGGACATTTGGAGCATGTTATTCACTGCTCACTGCTCACCTGGTCACTGACTTTTCATCTCTGCACATATTTTTTGGTACTGTTCTCTAGAAATTACGTGGGGCTCAAAGGATATGAATCTTGTGTGAAGAATTATGCAATAATGGGCTCACAATCTTGGTTATATGTGTAATGGACATCTGCAAGGCAGACCTGTGTCTCATTGCCCTGATTCTGAATCTCCAAAAATCATGGTGATCTGACTTGAACTGATTGGTGCCATTGATTGAGCCTGTTACAATGTGACAATATATATCCCAATTGTGGGCAGAGGACAATGTGGATGTCAGAGATACAGGGTAGGATGTCCAACATTTGCCTCTGTGGCATTTGTATAACATCTCACTGGTGTCCAGAGGGGGAGATGGGATGTCCCAACATAGCCTGAGAGGCTGCTGTGGGACATCCCACTGGTTTCTGGAAGGGGGGTTGGGATGTCCCAACATAGCCTGAGAGGCTGTTGTGGGACATCCCACTGGTTTATGGAAGGGGGATGGGATGTCCCAACATAGCCTGAGAGGCTGTTGTGGGACATCCCACTGGTTTCTGGAAAGGGGGTTGGGATGTCCCAACATAGCCTGAGAGGCTGTTGTGGGACATCCCACTGGTTTATGGAAGGGGGATGGGATGTCCCAACATAGCCTGAGAGGCTGTCATGGGACATCCCACTGGTTGCTGGAAAGGGGGTTGGGATGTCCCACAGGTGTATGGAAGGGGGTTGGGATGTCCCAACATAGCCTGAGAGGCTGTTGTGGGACATCCCACTGGCTGCTGGAGGGGGGGGGGGGATGTCCCAATGTAGCCTTATGATGGAAATGTGACCAGAGCTGGGATTGAAGCAACCTCTTAGGTGTTAACCAGGTGCTCTGACTGCTCAGTTGTGTATATTGTCTAGGTGATAGCATCAGTAGCATGGGGCATGGACCAGTGATGTGGGAACAAAACTATGTGGAGTGCAATGCACAGAATACACCATTTCCAACATGGTCCTTCAATCTGGGAATTTTTGGAGTGCAACAAGGGTGCATGCCTCCTATGATCATGCAAATGGTCTGATAGCATTTTGGCCTTGTGTTATGTGGAGAGTGGTGTGGGACATCTGGCCAGACAGGGGGGTGGGACATCCCAACTTAGCCTTAGAGGCTGCTGTGGGACATGCCACTGCTGGCCAGATGGTGGGGAGGGATGTCCCAATGTAGGTGTAGGGGCTGTTGTGGGACATCCCACTGGTTGGCAAAGGGGAGGGTGGGATGCCCCAATGTAGCCTCAGAGGCTGTTGTGGGACATCCCACTGGTTGCCAGAGGGGGAGAGGGATATCCCAATGTAGCCTTAGAGGCTATTGTGGGACATCCCCCTGGTTGCCAGAGGGGGGGAAGGAATGCCCCAATGTAGCCTTAAAGGCTGTTGTGGGACATCCCACTGCTTGCCAGAGAGGGGGGAGGGATGTCCCAATGTAGCTTTAGAGGCTGTCATGGGACATCCCACTACTTGCCAAAGGGGGGGAGGGATGTCCCAATGTAGCCTTAGAGGCTGTTGTGGGACATCCCACTGCTTGCCAGAGGGGGGGGAGGGATGTCCCAATGTAGCTTTAGAGGCTGTCATGGGACATCCCACTGCTTGCCAGAGGGGGGGAGGGATGTCCCAATGTAGCCTTAGAGGCTGTTGTGGGACATCCCACTACTTGCCAGATGGGAGGGAGGGATGTCCCAATGCAGCTTTAGAGGCTGTTGTGGCACATCCCACTGCTTGCCAGAGGGGGGGGAGGGATGTCCCAAAGTAGCCTTATGAGGAAAATGTGACCAGTCCTAAGATTGAACCAGTGACCTCCTAGATGTTCACCAGGTGCTACAACCACTGGACTGTCTGCTGGAGAGTGGGGTGGGATGACCCAATATAACCCAAGAGGGTGGTCTGGGACATAGCCTCAGCTAGTGTTGCTGTGGCCCAGCTCCAAAGGCTGACCTGCTCAACAACAAGCAGCTTAGTCACTATGACAACTATTACCAAATGTAGCCTTGAGTTGCCACATACCAAATCTACAATAATTATTTTAATACTCAATAATATAGATGTGGTATGGCCCTTGGCTTAGGACAGCTCCCTGAGCCACAGCAACACTATCCCCAGTTGCCAGAGGGGGAAGTGGGATGTCCCAATGTAGCCTTACGATGGAAATGTGACCAGAGCTGGGATTGAAGCAACCTCTTAGGTGATAACCAGTGCTCTAACAGTTGAGCAAATATATATTGTCCAGCCACTAATATCAGTAGCATGGGGGAAAACCAGTGACATGGGAACAAGACTATGTGAAGAGCAATGCACCATTCCCCACTTGCTCAGAGGCTGCTGTGGGACATCCCACTGGTTGCCAGAGGGGGGGGGATGTCCCAATGTAGCCTTAGAGGCTATTGTGGGACATCCCAATACTCGCCAGAGGGGGGGAGGGATGTCCCAATGTAGCTTTAGAGGCTGTCATGGGACATCCCACTGCTTGCCAGAGGGGGGGAGGGATGTCCCAATGTAGCTTTAGAGGCTGTCAAGGGACATCCCACTACTTGCCAAAGGGGGGGAGGGATGTCCCAATGTAGCCTTAGAGGCTGTTGTGGGACATCCCACTGCTTGCCAGAGGGGGGGGAGGGATGTCCCAATGTAGCTTTAGAGGCTGTCATGGGACATCCCACTGCCTGCCAGAGGGGGGGAGGGATGTCCCAATGTAGCCTTAGAGGCTATTGTGGGACATCCCACTGCTTGCCAGAGGGGGGGAGGGATGTCCCAATGTAGCTTTAGTGGCTGTTGTGGGACATCCCACTGCTTGCCAGAGGGGGGGAGGGATGTCCCAATGTAGCCTTATGAGGAAAATGTGACCAGTCCTAAGATTGAACCAGTGACCTCCTAGGTGTTTACCAGGTGCTGCAACCACTGAGCCATATGGTCTGGGTACTAGTGTCAGTAGCTTGGGGGCTTAGACTAGCACTGTGGGAACATATCTCCATGAAGTTAATGCACAGAATGCACCATCTCCAATGTGGTCCCTTCATCTGGCCACTTTTGGAGTGTAAAAACAGTGCACACCCCCTAGGGTCATGCAAATGGTCTGATTGCCTTTTGACCTTGTGTCATGTGATGGATCAGGATTTACTGCTGTGTTTCCAGGAGGCCTTACTATCAGCCACCTTGTGTCCATGTAACTCACATGATCTGGACTTACTAAGGATGCCGCATGACCCATCGTACCGAGCATGCATGGGTTCCAGCTGCAGCTCATAACCTGATGAAAATGTGACCAGAGCTGGCATTGAGCCAGGACCCTCTCAGTGTCAAGCAGCTGCTCTGACCATGGAGCTACCTTGCATTGGATTCTCTATGGTGCTTGTAGGATTAGTGCAGATTACTACTTCAACACCTTAGAGGCTGTGTTGGGACATCCCTCTGGTTGCCAGAGGGGAGGGTGGGATGTCCCAATGTAGGCTTGGAGGCTGTTGTGGGACATCCCACTGCTTGGCAAAGGGGAGGGTGGGACATCCCAACATAGCCTTAGAGGCTGTTGTGGGACATCCCACTGCTTGGCACTGGGAACAGTGGGATGTCCCAATGTAGCATTAGAGGCTGTTGTGGGACATCCCACTGGTTGGCAGAGGGAACAGTTGGATGTCCCAATGTAGCCTTAGAGGCTGTTGTGGGACATCCCACTGGTTGGCAAAGGGGAGGGTGGGATGTCCCAAGGTAGCCTTGGAGGCTGCTGTGGGACATCCCAAGTCCCCTTATGAAAGTCAGTGGGATGTCCCATCCCAGCCTCAGAGGGCTATGATGGCACATCCTCCTAAGCTACCTTTGCAGACCAGCACAATGCCCCATGACAACCTCAGAGGCTCATCTGGGACATTCTGCCCTCTGCAGATGGTGTTGCAAAGGTGACCAACACCATGTTCTATGTGGGGGACTTTGAGATATTGGCTTGTCTCACAAGTGTTCAAAAACCATTCACTTCTTCCTTCATACGGTACAAATTGCATGAGGTATAGACACAAATTGATTGAATTTATTATTGCAATTTTCAAGGCAAATGTGGAGGCCCAGGTGGGTCATCTCCCTGGCAACTAGTGAGATGTCCCAATACAGCAGAATCACATTGCAAAGATGTACATGAAAAGTACTATTGTATACTACTATGCATGGTGGGATGGGAGGGGATGTATAGGTCAAAGGATACTTTGTGGATTAAATCTGTCAGAGGAGCAAGGGGGCTAGGATTTCTGCAGCTATTTCAATGCTAATATAAGCTCCACTTTCAGGAGTAGGGACCCCAGTCACCCAAGGCAGTCTTGGGACATCCCAAATAATTGCATTTGAATGGATGGCTATGTGGGAAATCCCATCTGTCCCAGGGCCTAAAAATCTGCATAGCCCTGGGACATGACCAGATGTCCCTGGGCAGACCTTGGTCTGGGAGGCTATTAGGCTGGATGGTTTGGAGAAACTATTCAGCCTAAATGCTTATGAAAAATGGTTACCTGAAGTGCAGAGAACATGAGATAAAACAAAGTATCTTTTCAAAGATTTTTTTCCCCTATGTTTGTATAAAGAAAATTGTAAAGTGCTTGCTGTGTAAGGGGATAAACCCATAGACTTCAGAATGGTGACCCACTCGGCCCAGAAGACAGAGTGCGCAACAGTGTGCCAGCGGCAATCATCGTTCTCGCAGCTCTTCATGATAGCCTCGTGAACATCATAGTGGTGGCACTCTACAATGCCGTTAGCCTGAGAGTTGTAAGGAGAGATATGGATGTGACAGATATGATATTGCGCGGCTAGGGCATCTAAGGCTTGGACGAACGTGGGACCGTTGTCGGTGACAATCTCGGTGAGTGGACCCCAGTGGCATAGAATGTCCTCGAAGATGAAGGACGTGAGCGCGGTACTATTTTCCACACGCAACATACGCCATTCGGGATATGAGGTGAGCGCGCAACGAGCCTGTACTATGTAGCGGTAGCTGCCAGCTTTGGGCATCAGCATTGTGTCAATGTGAGCTTTATGAAACAGGCCCCCTATCATGGGTACAGTGGGGGGGATATGAAGCTTCTGCATCTGGTGGATCTGGCATTCATGACAAGTGCGGACATACCACTTCACATCCTCGACAAGAAGAGGCCACCAGAAGTGAAGGAGAAGGCGCGTGCAGACCGTGAAGACACCCTTGTGTCCGAGGTCATCATGCACTTCTTTGATGAGACGGTACTGCTTGGATTCATTGATGACTAGCTGATGCCATCCGTGCAGTTCCCTACGCCATAAGTTACCATCTAGGAGGAAGAAGCAGCTGGCCGAATTAAAGAAGGATGAGTACTGTGCATCAGTAAGGTCAGGAGGTCACGAGGAATGTGCGGATCATTTCTATCTTTGCTTCGCATGCCCAAGCTTTCATGGACCACAGAATGGCAGGGTCGTCTGGGGTATCAGAAGGGTTATTAGCATCAGCAGTCGCAGAGAATGCGAGATAGAAGGATGCAGGTGGCGGGAGGCTCACCCGATGGTAAGCGGGTGGCGGTAGGAAATAGTGATCTTGACTGGAAAGTGACATAGGAGGCGGGCGGTCATTGGCAACCTGTGTAGAGAAAGAGTAAAAACGGTCCAGCCAATCCTCATGGTCGTCATCCTCGGGTGGGTCGAGCTCCAACTGCGGACAGTGGGACAAGCCATCAGGGCCAGCATGCCTGTCCACGGGAACGTGGACAAGTTTGAACAAGAAAAGGAGCATGCCAGCAATCCAGCAATTGATCATCGCGTTAGGCTGCAGATCTGGGTTATTTATCATGCCCTTAATATACTTCACATCTACCTCCACAGTGAAGTTAGCGAGACCGGAGATGTATACGCATACTGCGCACAACGCGTGGAAGAGACCATACAACTCAAGCTTGGCCTGGGAGTAGCGGCTTTCCACTTCATTGAGGGTGATGGATCCGAAGCGACTTGGGTACTGTCTGCTGTCTTCACCGAGCTGGTAGAGGATGTAGCCAACTGCAATGACCGATGTGTCAACTGCTCGAATTACTTCACGACCGCACTCATAGTCAATCCTTCGGAGTGCGGGGGACTTTACAATTTCGTCCTTGAGTCGTTGCATGGCAGCGCATTGCAGTTCGTCCCATGTGAATGGTACGTCCTTCTGCATGAGTGCGACTAGTGGCCACACAATCTTGGCAAAGTCTTTGATGAAGATGCATAGCACTCCGCAGACACCGAGGAAACCGCAGACCTGTGTCAGGTTGTGGCACTCGGGCCAGTCGCAGATCTTCTGCACTTTGCTTTCTTCAGGAATGCGGCCTTCAAAGGTGCACTTGTGCCCAACGATCACAGCGGACGGAGCGGCTAGCACAAACTTCTTTGCCGAGACGGTGGCTCCAACGTTCTGCAAACGCTGAAGGATACGGTTAACAACTATACAGTGATTCCAGATAAATTTCCGAATCCCAGGATTCTCCAGGATAGTCTCATAGGACCCATCTGTGCGCTGATAGCGGGTGGTCTCAGATTTTACAGGGACGTCATCTATGAAGGGCAGGGTATGATGCGGGATCTCATCCTGGAGAACAAATGCAGTATCTCCCTGGTATACCTGTACTGCATTCGCATGACCTTGCAGCAGAGTAGTAAGCCGATGTGGTCTGAGGGGGGTACCGAAGGTGGTGAGGTCGCAGGAATCCACATGAAGCACACGCTGGTCATACCCGGAGTAGAGGTCCATCATCGCATACACCACGTATCCAGCAAAGGATTCTGCGAGGTGTTCTATGAAGGGCGGGACGGACGCATCGCAGATGGTCACTGCATTCAGGGGCTGTAAGTCATGCACAAGATGAAGAGACTTTCCGTCTTTCTTTACTACGCAGAACCAGCAGGAGCAGTAAGCTGCTGTAGAAGGTTCATACATGCCGGACTTGATGTGATCTTTACTCATGTCTATGACTTGGGCATGTATCACATTCAGGATAGGGATATTGTGTTGGACCCAAGGCGTGTGTGGAATCATAGGAATCTTTACTGGCGGAAAATAGCGTTCGTCTAGGTGTCTGCACTCTGTAATGTCCCAAGTGAATGCAAGCTCATGGACCGAAACAAGCCAAGTTACGAGTTTAAGTTCTTCTGGCCAAAGCCAATCTGCAGGATCGAGGTCAAGTTCCACAGCCCGTTTGGCAGTGAAGCAGATGCCTGGAGCAAAGTCTGGTGGATGGGTTGGAAGTGGTTGGAGACCAGTGAGCGGGTCGTCAGGCAGGCTGCGCACGATGCGGTATTCTTCTGCCATTGGGGCAGGTACCGTCCGAACCTTCTTGGCAACTGGCTTGTAAACGAGGGTGTGAACTGCGGGATCTAGTTGATAAATGCTGCTGAATGCGGCTATAGCAGAGGGGTTTAGTATTGTCTGAGTGGAAGAGAGGAAAGCGAAAACAGGTGAGGGTATTCCGGTGGGTATGTTCCGTGGCATGGGTGCCACAGGTGAAGAGAAGTTCGTCGAAGTAAAGGCTAATGATGAGACTGTAGGACTGAGGAACGGATAACAGCGGCTAAATAGGAAACAGGACATCTTAGTAGGCTCTCCCTGACCGTTTGGTGGATCATCGATATTCAAAAACCCCATTCGACTATACTTTGGTGGCTATGGCAGTGCTTGCCGCACTTGCAGCACAGACAGCCCTCACGCCACGGGTGCATGGGCAAAGTGTACTCATGGCCATCGTTTGGGTCTCAGAGAGTGATCCGCTGTCCGCCATCGGGATAATCGTTTGTTACTGCACTCATAAGGCAAATGAACGGACGTCCGAGGAGCATGTCGAAGTTGGCATGTTCAATTACTTGAACCTGTAGCATGACTGGCCCAGCGCCGAAGTCGAGTTTCAGGTTCTCTAGTACACCTACACACTGGAAACATTTCT